TGTGTGTGTGTGTGTGTGTGTGTGTGTGTGTGTGTGTGTGTAAAATAGTATATCATTCTGGCGAGTAAACAAAAAAATGTACTAGCCAATGGCGATTATATTGCCAAGGAGTGCATAGAGGGTTGAAATGATAGAGTCCATGAGTCAGAACAGCCTACACACAGTACACTTGACTTCAGCGCTAGCCACAGAGGTGCTGGGGCATGCCTAATTTGAAGGTACGTCAGCTGAGAGAACAGATCATTAACCCCTGTTCTCTCTCTCCTATGCTGCTCTCTATTGGGCCACAGAAAGCACAGTCACTACATTTGTGACAAACTGATCAGAGTGACGTATGGCCTTCAACAGGCAAGTTTCATGTGAATTAATGCTTCAGTTGAAAGTTCAAAAGAACAGCACTTATTTGCTTTACAAATCTCTTTCATAACATTATAAATGTCTTTACTGTCACTTTTGAGCAATTTAATGCATCCTTGCTGAATAACTATTAATTTCTTTCAAAAAGTCTTACTGACCCCACACTTTTCAACAGCTGTGTATACATACTAATTTTGTACAAATTATTTGCCATTTACAACACTACAAGAACATATTGTGATAATCATATTATTACATGCAATAAACGGTAAGCACAGTGCTTACAAATGTGTTTTTGCACAGTTTCCTCACTGGAGTGTAAAATGAGAAAAGTTGTAAATTTGACAGAGGCAAAAAGTACCATCTGGATATGCGGCAGAACAGCTGATGTGCTACTACAGCATCTCTTACAAATGTTTAGGGTTACACAACCTTTGTCTGGCAGTCTGATTACATCAGTTTAACTACATCTGGGTTTCTCATTTCATCTACAGGTACAAGTGTTCTGAGTATAGAAGTAAGTTCTGAAATGCACAGACCTCTGTCTGCTGTGGTGGAAGAAGGTGAAAATTAGATGTACTAGAGGCTAGGGCTGGGCAATATATAATATATACATTGAATATTAGAGATGTTATCGCGATAATTGAATAATCAATATTTCGTGACATCGAATATTGTCGAAAACAAGATTAATGTGCTAAAGATGGCAACAAATTTCACTCCTCCTGCAAACTAGCCAAAAAGTGCTTATATGTTCTAGCAACTAGTTCCCCAATTGGAAAGTTTTTAGTGCCAGTGGGAACATAATGTCATGCCACTGAGCATCTCTTAAACCGTCGATAGACTTGTATTCTTAGCTAAAAACTTGTGATACACTTGCATAATTTATCTCAGTTGCACAGTGTAAAATACGCAAACAATGTAAATTATGTGCGAATTATTTTTTGTACCCATTTTGCACTCTTTTTACATACTGTTAGATTTACATGTGTTAACTGAATAAAAAGAAAAAAAGTGGTCACTAGGTATACATTTTTTTAAACTGTGTTTTTGCACTAAACATTTTGAAAGTGCTTAGAAACAATAGCTGTCCTATCCAAATCATGTTTTCTTTTGTATCGGGAAACAGAAGAAAATAAACTTTTTAATTATTCTATAGCAAATGCAAAAACACAGAGATATCAAATTTTAGGTATATCGCCCAGCCCTACCAGAGGCAAATTTCTTAAGTATATTATTTATAGTTTCCTGCATATGCTGTGATGCTGCAAAATAATAACAATGAAAAGACTGCCTACAAAGCATACATAGCAGACACAAGCAGAGGACAATCTAATGTTGGTTTTGCTGCCAAAGACATTTTCATGAACAAAATATGTACTTTTACAGAATAACAGTTATTGCTGTCCACATGCAGCACACTGAAGCTCAATGAACTGATATATCAATATTGTGGAGATCCTGCTTTGTGTTAATGGCCAGAGAAGGCTAAACTTTACTTACTGTGGTGAGGTGTGAATTTGCTGGTAAACACTGTACACCTCTTGAATACTGCGTTCAACTTTTCTCTAAATATGATGATAAAACAGGAAACAACAAAAAAAAATTTGGAAGTGAGATAACCAAATAGAAAATGTGGTAACAAGCCAAATGACATGCAGACAGAAAGATGCACTGTGGCTGATAATGCCTATATGCTGTATATATGGGTGGCTGACATTACATCTTGTTTTCAATGTGTCATACAAAGCCACAAAAATATTGGCTTATGTATTTATTTTGAAAATCATAGTATGACTTAATAGTGCACGCTGGAATTTCAAGTGCTTGATTTTTTCTAAAATTCATAACTATAACAGTCACACTTTATTTTTAAAATAAAGGAAACTGAAAATACCACAGTGAACTATACGTTTTCTATGCCTTGTTTGCTAAAATTATTATTTCTAAATACACACGTATATATCACCTTTCACTTAATAACTTCTCATGGTTAACTGTCAACCACCCATATAATAATGCAGGTCATACACTACAGTGCAACATGACATAAACCAGTGAAGTATGTGCAGATTCTCCAACGTTTATAGACGTTCACTCAGAAATGAAAAGTTTGTCATCATTTACACACTTTCATTTTCCCCATAACATCTCCTTTTTGTGTTCACAACATGAGGCCGAGTAAATGTTGACAGAATTTCAATTTATGGTAAACTATCCCTTTAAATAAACCTAACGTTACCTATACTATTTACAGAAGTGCAAAATTCTAGAGGAATAAGTACTAGGTGAGCTGGATGCAGTGGCAGTAGAATAACTATACCCAGCATGATTCTCAGTAAGCACTAACGTTACTGTATCCCTCAGCAAAGTGATGAATCACAGAACCACACATAATAGACAGTTAGCTTCGCGCTAATACCAATTAGCTAACTAATTCTAAGAGTTAAGCTCACCTGTTCTCTCGAGGTCACCGTTTGCACGCCGTCATCGCTGAAAAGCTCAGAGGAGTGTGATTCACTAAAGCATCGCAGAGGAGGAGACGCCTCTTCCATGATGAGATTTGAAAACACATGCACTGTAATAGAAAGGGAGCAGCTTTCCAGCAGAGCAAGTGTCAAGACAGTGTGGGAGGGGTTTCCTCAATGGAGTCAAGTGACTTACAGCTCAAGTACGGAAAGCCTGAAGGCACATAAAGCGGTAAAAATGATGGGACGTTCTGCGAAATGGCTCTCTCAAAGAAGCTCGTTTCAATTAAACGGTTAAAAAAAAGATGACATGACGCAATACGCATGACGTTTTACATAACGTCCGTGCATTGCATTTTTTACTGTATATTCTCATTTTCTACATATTATAGTCTATATTCAATTTTTTCTATACTATATGTTGGAATTGACTACTGTCATTGTCATAAAAAAAATCCTTGCATAGCATTAATGTATTATTTTCAGGTTTATGTATTTGTTGTAATCATGATGAATGATATTTTTTTATTTATTTATTTTGCTTATGTATAGGTGTTTTTTCTTTTCTTGCGCGTGTAGCCGATATGTAATATTGATAGCTAGTGTTGAAATGGGTACTGCAGTCCAAATCAATTATTTTATTTTATTTTATTTACATTTGTAAGGGCATTTTTGATAATTAACTTATTTTTATCTGTGTTGTATTTAATGTCAAATACTTAAATTTAACCAATTACACCAATCAATCAGAATACTTTAAACTGTTTGTGGAGCATTTCTGTTCATTTAGAACCTAAATATAGCCTATGTCTACATTAAACAATTCTAAAATTCATTTACATATTTTGGCTGAAAACACGTTTGCACGTTTTAATAAAATTCCACATACTAAAGTCAATTCTATGTCGGACGTGTCTCAAATGGCAGTTCTCGGTTCAAGTGATTCAAGAAAGCATTCATTCAATTCGATACGTAAACGAATCATTCGGTCCGGTTTTTGAACAGATTCAACTGATTCATCGAAAAGATTCGACACAAAATAACGATTCGGTCACGAATCGGGCATCGCTATAACAACCATTATCCCATGTAGATGTACGCCTTTGACGTGGTCAGTATTTTTTTTATAAACAGGCAAAAAGCGGATCCACTATCAATTTATAATGGTATAAAATGCTAATATTGTGGATTTAATGTCTTTTGCCCCTATTTTATGTTTTTGACAATATTGATATTATAATGTAGCTAAACAACTATACATGTATTTCATCCACGCGGTCCTGGCATATATACAATTAGGCTAATATCAGTATCAAAATAATGCTGCGTGCCCATAATCTCCACCCATTTCCTGAGGTGTGAAGGATGTCGGCGAAACGCACAGAGAGCGTTCTGTAGCCCACCGCACCCACCACATCAGCGTTCCTGACTGATTTCTGCTTACATCGACTCCTGCTTTATCTACACAGTCATTCGGGAAATCGGCAAGTAGCACGGACCGGTCGATGGAAAAAGCGAGAAGATGATACTGTGAAAAGGGTGGACATGGAAACCCGACGCTGAGTTACTTTAATTGTGACCATAAGACACCATGGCCAAACAGTATGATGTGCTGTTTAGACTCTTGCTTCTCGGAGACTCCGGTGTCGGCAAAACCTGTTTGTTATGCAGATTCACGGACAATGAATTTCATCCCTCTCACATTTCCACCATCGGTAAGAGTGTTACTTTCATGCATCCATTCAAAGAGTTGCAAAATAAACAGCACATACCGATAAGAAAACCCATAGCAGCGCTGGGCCATTGTAGTCTATGAGCCGTGAAAAAAATGGCTCAAGAATTATACCACATAGTGAGATGCATTCACACAACCTCTTCTAGTTCTTTCTGAGATGCCCGACTGTATCTGTGTGCGAAGTCTTAAAATGTTGCATTTCTGCAGTTGTCACAAACCCAGTAGTGTTTGTTTTAGATCGTCCTGTTATAGATAATAAAAATGCAGTAAGATAAATTAATATAAAATCACAGGTTGCATGAATGGCAACGAGGACACAGAAAGTACAGATGTATGTTATTGCATGCATTTTCAATAAAAGATGCATAAAAGTGTTCTATCAGCCATTCCAACTCGCACTTGCTGTTTTATACAAGTACTATATTGATATGAAATGGACATCAGGTTGAACTCAGTTGTAAGTTTTGGTCTCAGCTGCAGCTGTAAGAAATATGGAAAGATTTGTATTGCAATCTCTAAAAACTGTTTTCTCTAAAAGGACCATTTTATCACTAAGCGTTCAAGCACTACCAGCATAGGGATCTTTTTATTATTATTATGGTTGATTGGATGTTATGAAAAACAAAATTTGGTTCTTAAAAGGCTTTTCATAAACCTCTCAATTCGGTGTTCATATATAGTGTGCTCTTGGTCTAGTGGGACATTTTCCCAGTGGGCTGACATTACGTCCTGACAACAGCCAATTTACTCACTTGAAGAGGATGAACAGAGATTATTTTACAACAGTTTCCAGAAATACATAATTTTATATTTTTCATATGCTAATATGTATAAGGACACTTACTTATTTTTAACCACAACCCCATTCTTAATACTTCACTTATTAATTTTACCTATTTTGTTATGCTTATGTATAAAGGTAAACTAGATGCTTATGTATGTATAAAGATCTTTTAAAAGGATAGTTCACCCAAAAAAGAAAAATAAATAGTCACTGTTTACTTGCCTTTCCAAACCTTTTTGCTGCCTTGGAAACCATGAAAGTAGCTATCTAGCAGAATGTCCTAGCTGCTCTTTAGTCTTTTCCATACAATGAACATGAATGATGACCACAACTGTCCCCATGCAATTTCATTGTATGGAAACTAGCAGCTTGGACATTTTGCTAAATATCTAAGTTTGTGGTCCACAGAAGGAAGAAAGTCAAATGGGTTTGGAATGATACTAGGGTGAGTAAATAATGATTAAATTGTTATTTTTGTGTGAACTGTGAAATCTATGCCATTGTGTAAAATCTTCGTTTGTGTTCCACAGAATAAAAAATGTATGTTTCAAAAGATGTGAGGGTGAATAAATGCTTACAAAATTCACATTTTGGGTGAACTATTCCTTTAATGAAGCATTTGAGCTGCTGAACCCGTACCAAAAATGTTATCCCCCAATTAAATCACATGCTTCATTAGGTGTGGAGTGAATGTCAGGCTGTTATTTTGCAAAAGTTCAGGGTATGCTCTGTTGTATAGCTTTCTTGGTGTTTCCAGGGGAGCAAATAATATCAAGAAATCAGGCATAGGATTCATAACACCCTCCTAGTGTTCCTGATGATTATATCCCCCCAAATCAATGAGGAATTTGAAGCCCTGACTCATTCCTGCATATTTAATATGCTGGGATGGATCTCTTTTGGTTAAGTAGTGATGTGATACAGAACAGTCTTTAACTGCTGGAGATAAAAGATTTAGTCTGACTGTCTTGAGAGATGGCTGGTGTCTTGCCCTAAAAAATGGTTCAATACGCTCTAGTCCGCAGGGCTATGACCCATATATATTATGATACTAGGCTATCAAAGACCTTAGCGCTGTACTGAAACGTTATTCACAGTGGAAGAGATATCTGTGTGGTCTGACAGATCATTTGAAGCATTAGTTAATGGTTATCTATTTGCCTCGAGGCCACATGCTGTTATGCTAAATTATTCTTGCTATAGAAAGCAGCTGTTGATTGATTAGTTTGAGGATAGCAAATACAACAAGATATGATCTCCATTTCTATTTCATTGCTTTCTCTAGTCAATTATTTATGATGCTGTCAACACTAGAGAAATTGGATTTGTGTTTAAATTTGTATGTGATAATCACCATAGCATATCTGTCTGTTGTCTTGTTAAAATTATTTCCATTTCCAATTAGCCTCTGTCTCAGAAGGAAAGTGTCAAAGTGATGATTCAATTGTTCAGCTCTGGCACACGTTTAATGCTCTCATTACCATCTGTCAAATGGCCATTCAATTAAAGGTCTGCTTTAATTGTCTTTATATTTTTGGTGCTCAGAAACCTTACATTATCAGAGGTATAAAGTATTTCACTACTATGCTTTAATATGTTTTTGGGGAATCTGTGCTTTACTTGAGTTCTGTTAAAACCGATATGTACTTTTACTCAGGCGGCATTTACATGACACCGACATCAACTAAGAACTGAAAACATTTAATATGTTTTGGCCTTTCATTTACAAAACAACAGCATTTTGGGGGCCTGAAAACCCAAATGTTTGAAAACGGGTTTCAAAATGCAAGTTTTTCAAGATTATTCTGTTTTCGTCTCTGTGTAAACTATAAAAATGTGAATTTGTGAAAACGGTGGCATCATGTGCATGCGTATTACGTGTTCAGTCTATAGGTATTTTCACATGCGCGTAATGTTTCTTTGCAAAGTGACATCGCCAACTACTGGCCTGGCATGCATAATACAGCATCTTTAGTCATTTTCTCAGGTCCCTGTGATTTGGGATCGTTTTGACAACATTGGAAAAGGAAAAACGTTTCCATTTGTAGTACATAGTTGTCATGTAAACATACCACAATTTACATTTACAAGGTAAAAAAAAAAAAGCTTTTTACTTTTCAAAATATTCTTTATGTTGACTAAAAAGTACAACTTAAATATTTTTTCAATTATTAAAAAATAAAAATTGTGTTTTTCTTTATCCTAATGTGACTTTGAAAGACCAGGGTGATTAAATGATGTCAGAATGTTCATTTTAGGGTGAACTATCCCTTTCAGACACAGACTTTGATGTAAAGTAATGTCTTTTTATGATAGCCATCTCTGTAGATGGATGTTAAGTGTGAACACGGTAGTCTAAAAATTGCTATATTCAAATGCCAACCACTGTAAAATCGTTAATTTAAAATCATTCAGGTAACAGGTTTACTTTAACTTCTGCTTTATGAGTTTTACATAGGCAGAACAATGAGAAAATAGTCATTTTTGACAGGTTTCATTCTTTTTGCATCAAAACTACTAAAATGAGAAAATCTCTAAAAAGCTTAGAAAAGTGTTTAATTTTTCAACTTTTAATACTTTTACTTTCACCAAGTAGTGTAGTGTCATGCTGTTCTCAGTACTTTTTACACCCCTGCATAGTATTGATTAAAATAAAAGGGTTTTGGATGAAAGCTGGTTTATCAAATCAAAAAGCCATCAGAAGTGCCCTTGAGAATATGGAGGAAATCTGACCTAAAAGTTCTTAAAGGTGCACTCATTCATTTTTGGTTTATGTCACACTGACTGATATGGGATGTTGCGGCATCACCCAAAAGCAATACTTTTAGAATGATGATGATACTGAAATGTGCTATTCGCAGTCAACCATGATTAATTTATTCGGTGAACTTACGTTTTTAAGTTACCAAGGTACAGTGAGTAGCTTGTCATGTGATCCAACATGGCCGCTCCAATGAAGGGACACACTCTATGTAAAACAAAACAGATTTTAATAGACTATTTCACTGTTTTGCGATTTCACTGGTGTCTTCATCTCATTTGAGTGCATATTTTTTAATTTTTTTTAATGAGAAAAGGATTACAGTTATTTACATCACTTTATGTGAGGTTGGTTTGGTTTCTCTTTTATTTTTGTAGTATTTCACAGCATTGTTGTTGTCCTTTCACTGCCCGAGATTCTGGAAGAGAGGACGGGAAGGGCAGCTCTTTCATTATTTTCCTTTGCCCCAGGCCAACCAATTCAGTGGCTGTAGTGATGACCTTTCTGTGTGTCCCTGTGTGGAAGCTGAGGGCACTAACACTACTGCTTTACTTCATACGGTTTAATAAAGAAGAGGCTATGGAGCTCTGTGGATGGCACTCAACTGTATTCAAGATGGTTTTGTACTCATGTCTTATTTTAGTATTTCTTGTGCTTGCACTTTGTTGTGCGTGAGGTACCATCTGGTTCCAGTCATTGAATTGAATCTTTTGGGGGAAATTTTTTTTTTATATGAAGACCTGTATACAAGCTGTCTACTGTAAGTTGTCTCTCAAAAAAGAAATTTGGTAATTAATCCTTTTTTTAAATCACATTGCTGACAGGGCATGTTAAACATTACAGAGACAACCGACTACTGTTGTCTTGGAGTCATAATTGTTATTGAGAATGGAACTTCCTTGAAGAACAGCTTTTCCGGGAGCTGCAATGTCTCGCAGTGGACCTTACTGACAGATACTCATTTATCATTGTAGTTTTGCTGTGGCTTTATTTTCTTGCCTGCCTCATGTTTAATAGAGAGGTGCTTTCTTTCAGGGCTCAAGATCTCATTATGGTTCCACACCTTACAAGAACACGTCATTCCTAATATATAGTACACTTTCATGTTCACTTCATATGTCTCTAAATAAACTGAATCAAATATTAAACTCATAATTTTTAATGGAGGAAATCATGTGAATTCGTTTTTTGTAATCACAATATCAAAATTAGGCGAACAGAGATCAAGTATTAACAATGCATTTAAATAGAAATAAAAAAATCAAAGTCAACTCCATGTTTAGGTTCTGTCCTGTAAATGTTCTTGTCAGTGATATAATGAATAAACCTAGCAAGTTCTTAAGCTTGATCTAAGAATATTTCTATAAAAAAATGTCATATCCTTTTATATAAATATCTATTAAATTGCAAGCAAATTTTTCAACGTCTCTCTTTGTAGTCACCATTTCTGCTTCTTTGAGATGGTCCTCACTGCAGAACACAAGATCCAGGGGGCGAGGTTGGATCCAGATCCAACTCCTCCCACCTTACATATACCTAAACCTATCAGTCTCCACCCCCCAGGTTTGGGTCCAACCACGCCCCCTGGATCTTGTGTTCTGCAGTGAGGGGCTACTGGCTTCTTTCCTATTCTTTATTACTTCACTGCCTTTTTATGAGTCTGATTTGAATGGTTCAGTAAACTTCATGAGAACACTGATTCTACCAAACGATTTCATTTAGATTTGGCTTTGAGCCTGAAGATAGTTTAACAGATGAGTTGTGTCACTAACCACACAGAGTGCTTTTTTTTCATTTTAAAGTCATTTGAAATCATTATATGTTTCCCTTTTTTTTTTTTTTTACCCCAGGTGTCGATTTCAAAATGAAGACCTTGGAGATAGATGGCATTAAAGTACGAATACAGATATGGTATGTTTGATTTTTCTCTGATGATATAACAGCGTTTGATCAATTGGTTGTGCTAATCAGTTGTGTGTATGTACGCAGGGACACAGCAGGTCAGGAGAGATATCAGACCATCACTAAGCAGTACTACAGAAGAGCACAGGTGATCTTCACTCATCTCACTGACTCATATCTTATGTAATAAAGGAGTCAGGTCTAATAGAGATGCCTTTTGGTGTCCATTGTGTGGTAATTCACTGATAAACGCTCATTATAATGTATGGGTGGATTGAAATAGATTCTGTATCAACAGGGCATTTTTCTGGTGTATGACATCACAAGCGAGCGCTCGTTCCAGCACATCATGAAGTGGGCCAGTGATGTAGATGAGGTGAAGCTGTGGAGTTTAAAGCATATCTGTCTTGCTGTAACTAAATATAACCCACTTATTATTAATATCTCTTCATTTAAATTCCACCGCCCCTCATTCTCTCTTTAACTCTACATCCACAGTGGGGTCCTAACAGTCAGAGGCTACAGTGCAAATCTGGGATATAAAAAATTGAATTTAATTAACAGCAACTGAAAGTTTTGGGATTTAGGAAAAAGTAAAACAATGAAGCATTATAAATAAATCAGTAATATTTAAGATGTTGCACTTATTTCTGGGACACTAAGCAAATTTGTTACTTATTACTAAGTTTTACTAATTATAAATCCTACATTTTTTTTTTTAATTTCAGAGCACCAAAACATTTTTTATTTATTTTTATTAATAATAATAATATATATTTTATTTAGCCTTTTTCATGTTACAGTTCTGTTTATATATTATTACCGTAAATAAAACACTGAAATACATTTTTGAATCTCAAATGTTCATTGTGGACTTTTGGACCCCACTGTATGATTCGTATATTACGTTTAAAACACTGCCGCCATGTTTTCCCACTAGAGGACAAAGGAAAACTTGATATAATCACAGAAATTGTACTAAACCAATATCGGTGATTATTGTTGTTACTTGAACCGGAGCACTTTTGTTATATGAATTCTATGTCGCATATCATATTTGTCTGTTTCTGCTCTGCTCCATCCATTCGCCTCTGTTGAGTCTCTCTTCTCGTCTGTTCTGTCTCTGATCAGTATGCCCCTGAGAAAGTGCAGAAGATACTTGTTGGGAACAAGTCTGATGAAGAACAGAAGAGACAAGTAGCTACAGAACAGGGAAATAAGGTAAATAAATAATACTTCCCTCCTGTGCACTGCATCTTTCATTCATAGTGCCATTTACTCCACATTTACTCTGTCATGTGACAAACCTAATATCTGATGTCTGAGGTTAAAGACTTTCTTCAGACATCTTCATCTTTTTTGCTCCAGCTTGCCCAGGCTTATGGAATGGACTTTTTTGAGACAAGTGCCTTTACCAACCACAACATTACAGAGGTACAATGTTGTCTGCGTGAATTTTTTTTTTTCTCTGCAGTATTTCTGTATTTTTGTTTTTGTTTTGTTTTTTTAATATTTGAAGAATGGTGAATCTGTGCAACCGTCTGATCATTTTGTTTGTACATTTTGATTATCTACAGCTAATCAGGTTTTTTATTTTCCTTTCCGTGTTTTTTTTTATTACAGTCTTTCACCCGATTGGCTGAATTAGTCTTACAAGCCAATAAGAAGGATCTTGATTTGTTGGGAGGATCCATGAATGACCAGTTCAATCTCGCTGTTTTGGAGGAGCAGGAAGGATTGTGTAATGTTAGCGACGGCACCCATAAGTCCTGCTGGTGCTGAGGACAGGAAGTGGCATGACTACTTTTTTCAGTTGAATTCTATATTTATGTTACATTTACATTTTGAATATCATTTTGCAAAATTGGAACATTCTTGTTAAACAGTGTTTGGTGCCTTTAATGGCATTATTTCCTGCTGATTCTCATGAATATTATTTATTATTCTTTATTTATTTTATAGTTACTATAAGATGGAACATTGATGAAATGGTTTATTCAAAGGAATAGTGCACCCAAAAATGAAAATGTGCTGAATATTTACTCACCCTCAGGCCATCCAGTATGTAGATGACTTTGTTTCTTCATCAGAACAAGGAGAAATTTAGCTTTACTGTTTACTTTTAATTTAGCACCACTTGCTGACCAGTGGATCCTCTGCAGTGAATGGGTGCCGTCACAATGAGAGTCCAAACAGCAGATAAAAACATCACAATAATCCACAAGTAACCAACACGACTCCAGTCCATCAATTCATGTCTTGTGAAGTGAAAAGCTGCGTTTATAAGAAACAAATCCATCATTAAGGTATTTTAACTTTAAACTAAAGTTCCATAATCCATAATAAAATTCCATCTGCTGTTGTCTTCTCACAACCAAATACACCAACACATTTGTTTAGAACTGTTTTGGACTGTTTTCACTTGTGAACAGTGCTTGATCTGTGCATATTTCTCTCGATTCAGAGAAAGCAATATTATGGATAGTGTCTTGCTGGATTTGTTTATTACAAACACAGCTTTCCACTTCACAAGACATTAATTGGTGGACTAGAGTCATGTGGATTATTGTGATGTTTTTATCAGCTGTTTAAACTCTCATTTTGACGGCGCCCATTCACTGGAGAGTGATGTAATGATAAAGCTCTCCAAATCTAATCCAATTTAAAAAAAAAACTAATTCGTCTACATCTTGAATGACATGAGAGAAAATCTTAAGCAAATTTTCATTTTAGGGTGAACTGTTCCTTCAACATGGTTGTATGGCTGAAGCGCCCATGTTAACATATATTCTTTCTTGTGGTTTGCTATGGGACTTCATGTGAATATATTCAGATCTGATTTGGCTTTCTATAATTTTTTTGAATACTAAAACCTTCAATGCACCAATGAATGCTCCTTCAAGGTAATACATTTATTCTTGAGTGATGAATTGATGAAGCTTCTCGTGTCAGTGTAACAATACACGCTTCTTTTCTGTAAAAGCACTGTAAAAAAAAAAAAGTCACTAAACATGCTACTTACCAGTTCTGGTCCACTTTGTAAAGGAATGCAATGGTTTTTATCTCATCAATCTGAGGTTATTGCTTAAAATTGACTCAAATATTATAATTTAATGTGGTATTTTACACCAATATTACATCAAGCTCTCTTTTTCAATCAATAATCACTATTTACATGATTAGAATAGTTGGAATGTTTCAACTTTTACTCCATAAATGATTCTGGAATTGATGTGGTTTAACTTTCATAACAGCACACCGAATAATATTTTTCTCCTGCTTAAATCAACATCTTACCCATAGAACTTGAGTGAAATGTATGCAGACTGAACTGAACCAGCATTTGATGCCAATGTGCATCGCTGCATTGACATGGGTTGTATTGCTAATGATTCAATGTATATTACACTGTTGCAGCATTTATATGTGCAAGTGGTATTGTACTATGGTGACTTAAATGAACTCTTGAATAATGCTGATATGTTTACCTGTCTTATCAGAGAAGTTGTTTCATGAAATATGTTCATGAAAAAAAACTGAGAAATTTAAATGCGTATGTGGTTATTTATATATAAACTGTAATATTGTGATTCTGTTTAGGGGGTCAAGTAGTTACGAATAAACATCTAATTATGAAAAGGTAATTTTTTTATGAGGAATTTGGAGATGCAAGTCTCTGTAAGTGCAACACCACAAGTGAACACCAGGAGGCAGTTGTGCAAAGCTGAAATCCGTGTACAGAAATGTAGTTATGCATCATAAAACACACTTGGGGGTAACAACAGGGGAAGAAGAATGTGTTTGCGGTTTTATGTAATGTTCGGAACTGGGAAATATCCTTCAGCATTTGTGAAGTATTTTGATAATGAAGTCAGCTCATTTGCTTTATTTTATCAAGGTCATGATGTTTTTTTGTTTTTTTCTCAGAACAAGAATTTATTCCTTGATGCAACTGATTATTAATGGTACTTTAAAAATACTCTGAAACAAAATATTCTGCTTGTGCATTTTGTAGCAAAGCAGATCTCTCTCTCAAGGCCGTACACAGCTGGATGAAGCTTGGACAGATAGAGCACGGATTTAAGCTAATTATGTGGCACAAGCTCATGTTTGCAGCTAATTTGTAAGTAATATGCATAAATCAATGCAACATTTACAGTGTAAATATATTACACAATAAAATTATCTAAATGTTATGATCTAACTACATTCCCTATTCTATTTCTTCTGTTTAATATATTGGTAGCACTTTACAATAAGGTTCCATTTGGTAACACAGTTAACTACATTAGTTAACATAAAATAACAATGAAAAATACTTCCAAGGCATTTATTACTCTTAGTTAATCGTTAATTTCAGCATTTACAATAGATTATGTAAATCAACAGTTTTCTTTTTTATATTATTTAATAGACCTGAGCTAACATGAACTAAACAATTGTTAGCCAGTGTCCATACTATGAACATACAGGCTTGGAATGACATGAGGGTGAATAAATAATGACAGGATTTTCATTTTTGGGTGAACTGTCTGTGTGCAAAAGGCAATATTTTTTGTTACCCCACACTCTCAAATGACAATGACTGATGTAAAATAGTAATGCAATATTTCACATTCATGTGCATCTATTACAACAACAAACATTTATCTTCATTAATATTGTTGGAGCCTGTTTGGCTCACATGAACGCACAAATGTTTTCATATTCTACTAAAAGGCTCATTGATTTGCCTAACTCTGCTATTTGCCTTTTATACAAATACTTCATTTAAATGTGTATTGTGTGCAGAGGATGCATTTGTAAAGTTTGTAAATCTATTCAGGTGTCACAATGTGTTCTGTTGACGATAGCTCTATATTATGTGTCATCTCTGAGAGACAGAGTTGGCCAAGTGAAAGAGCTCCCTATAGTGTTGCTAATGAAAAGTCTGAGCTGAATATTCTGACTTTTTACATCTCACAAGGTCTCATCGACTGTCTAATTGCATGAGGGACCTCAAGCCCTGACACGACATGATGAAGTATCAAAACGAAGTGCTAACTTAGATAATATAATGACAGTTATCATGTAAGAACAGCTAAAGTCTGAAGATTACATGAGAACACATTTGGCTCACATTCTTGAGTAGATCCAGCTACTGTAGATTTGATATTTTTTTTCTCCATCCCCATTGTCAGTATTCTGATGTTTGGATCCGGGATCAAGCTGATTTTGGAAGACAGGGAGAGCTTCAAAAACAGCCCTTAGCACCCCTCAGATTTCCTTTCCTAGATAATCCTGTCATGCCATAATCAAATACTTCCATCCTATTGGCTCTCACCTATCCTCTTAATCAGTGATTTGCTCAGAACAAAAACTTGCCAGGCATTGAGAGAATTAAACCAATGCATCCTAAAGAGAGAGAGAAAGAGAGAAACAAGATGTGCTTTAGTACTATTTTTGGGGTGCATGCGCATGCAGCGGGGGTGTTTGGTGAGGAGAGGGGGGGGGGGGTCTCTGAGCTCTGGAGGTGCGCAATGTGGAATGCTAAGCACCCTGAGAGAACTTCACAGCATTCAGACTCTTTCTACTCTGCCTTCTCATCCCTCCTTTATACCTGCTTGAAGATGATGAAAAAGGCTGAGAGAAGGCTGCTTGATCTTGAACTAATGTAAATTTGGTGTTATTGATTTACCTTACTGTTAGACTGATATTTATTGCAATAAATGATCTATCTATCTATCTATCTATCTATCTATCTATCTGTCTGTCTGTCTGTCTGTCTGTCTGTCTGTTTGTCTGTCTTATCTGTCTATACCTAAACATTACATATAATGCGCAATATGTATTGTAAAAATATATAACATAATTTATTCAATATACACTTTGCCATACACACACACACACACACATATATACAGTGGGTACGGAAAGTATTCAGACCCCCTTACATTTTTCACTCTTTGTTATATTGCAGCCATTTGCTAAAATCATTTAAGTTAATTTTTTTTCCTCATTTGTTTCTGACCCTGAAGTGACCCGCATCCTAAAGTTATTGTAGTAATCTAGGATCAGGTCCTTAATCTTACTTGGAACATGATGGAGGTGTAGAGCGAGCTCGACTAGCTTGTGCGGTATGGACCCATAGGCATTCGCCAGGTCCAACCACAAAACAACTAGGTCGCCTCTGTTCTCATGGGCCTCTCTGATGAGTTGTGTAACTACACCAGTTCTATTTCTAGGAGTCACTGGCTGAGCCAGACATTAACTATATATATATTTATATATTCAATAATTCTGATATATTATAAAATAAATTGAAATATTTTAAACATTATATATAATGTGCAGTATATACTGTAATATAATTTATTGTCATAAAGATTGTTCATTATATATATGCTATAGATAGACAGATACATAAATATATATTTATTTATGTATTCAGTAAATAATATGATATGATAATCTATTTATCTCTCTGTCTGTCTGACTAACATATTTATAATGCAAAATATATTACAATAAATAATATGAATATTGTTAAAATATAGAACACATGCACAAACACACACACACACACATATATATATAATATAATTAATTGAAAATATACATATTTTGTTCAATAATGAATATGATAAATATATATTACAAAATTCAAATACGATTTACATTTCACATGAGCTGTCAAACATTATATGAAATACCATTTGAAATCCTATTATGTAGAATTATACATTTTCCTTTTTGATAACTCCACAGATGAAGAAATAAAACAAATGTACTTTTTCAGTGGGTTAAACACTGAATGTGCCTGTGTGGTTTTCGGCCTGGAGTCAGTTGGGAAGCAGCCAGGGAAGTGCCTTAGGATATTGATTGAGTCATTGTGAACCGCAGAGCACCAGAAGAAACGTTCAGCACGGATATCTCCAATTTCATACTCCACACCGCATTATGTGCACTGAGCATCTATGAAAATATAATCATGATTTCTTAATGCAACTGCAATTACTAACTTGCATTAGGATTTTATGCTTCTCTGAGGGAAATGCTAATAAAGTCTTGGAACACACATAGTGAATAGAACTGACAGTCATTAATCTCTCTCTGTGGGCATTTGGTAATTACTTTGCTGATTCTATCAATATAATAACACAAATATGAACAATAAACAACATGGGCTATCTTAATTGTATGCTACATT